AGGCCGTTTGTGGGAGACCACAGGCAGCGACCCCTTTACCGGCTGCGGGAGGTTTAAAGGAGAGGCTGCAGTTAGAGGAACAACCCTACCAGACTCTAGGAGCCACAGCCAATAGTCACATCTTCTAGCCTTCTAGGCTTCCTACTCTCTGTCCCCGGACAACCCCAACAGCTTTGAAAGCGGTTCTGTAGGGCGACACCTAGCCACGGTTGCTCCTCCTAGCCTCTCAGGGGCTCCTGTGACTTCAGAGGCTAAGTGACTTGCCCCAGTCACACAGCAGCAGTCTGACAGGCTGTCAGGGAACTAGGGACCACTAAGGGCCAGAGAGGAGAGAGCGAGCACTTTACTCGCTAGCCTGCAAGGCTGTGGCACTGGGGTGACGTGAAGATCCAGGGCCCCAGCCTCTGAGCTCTGGTGCCCTTTGCCCCATCCTGGCCTGGGGCGGGGGAGAGCGAGAGCGAGCGCGTCGGAGTGGGGGCTCCCCAGCTGCAGAGTAGAAAGTGGTTAGGAAAACCTTGCCCATACCTCCCGGCAGAGGGATGAAAGAGGTAGAGCTCGGGCAGGGTCCAGGCCCTGCGCGGTAATACCGGCACTCGCCCGCGTTCTTTAAACGCCCAGACCAGGAGCTAAGCGCGCGGGCTAGGGCGGGGTTGGGTCGGGGTCTGGTCACATGACCTGGGCAGAGTGGCTCGAGGCCCCCACCGCACCGGTGGGCGGCCCCCACAACGCGTGGTCGACCTTCATTGGCCAGTTGTGTGGCCAATAGAAATCGGCCATCTGGGAACCCTGCGTTCCGAGGCACAGCCTAACCTGCTCAGACCACAGGGGTCCAATGGAAAGTCAGGGCCGTGGCCGCAGGCCAATGATAAGGTGTAGAGGGCGGGACAAGAGGCCGGGCCAGGTTGGTTTGAGGGGCGGTAGGGTATAAAAAGGCGCGGCCGGCAGTAGCGTCTGTCCCTACTGCAGAGCCGCCGCCGGAGGAGAGGTTTAAAGGGCCCGCGCGCCGCCGCCCCCTCGGCCCGCCATGCTGCTACCCGTGCCGCTGCTGCTCGGCCTCCTCGGCCTGGCCGCTGCCGAACCCGCCATCTACTTCAAGGAGCAGTTTCTGGACGGAGGTAAGGCGTGGTCCCGTCTCGAGGCCGTCCCAACGATGAGGGCGGCCCCTCAGCCTAGATCTGCGTTGTCCCCCTGTAATTACTGCTTAGAGGACCAATACGATGGCCTCCGGGGACGAGAGCCGCAGGCGAGCCTCCCTTCCATGTCCCTGGGGAGCGTCGAGGGTGCAGCGGACTCCTGCGGCAGGAGTTAGGATTCGCTGGAGGAGCCCTTAAGCCATCGAAGGTGTCAAACTAGAGGATGGGGTGGGGTCAGTCAAGGGGTATCTGTTTCCCAGTCCTCAGCAGTTTGAGGCCACTGGCAGATAATTCGGTGGGGAGAGATCAGTACGGCCGCACTGACCTAACCCCTTTGATCCCCTAGACGGGTGGACCGACCGCTGGATCGAATCCAAACACAAGTCAGATTTTGGTAAATTTGTCCTTAGTTCCGGCAAGTTCTACGGTGACCAGGAGAAGGATAAAGGTAAGGGCCTGAGGCGGGTGGGTGTTCGGATTCAGGAGGACTTCCTGGAGGAAGCCCTGTACACACACAGCCTGGGTATCCCCACCAGCAGAGCAGGGGGGAGGAAGGGGCAGTCCTCTGTGTCTCCAATGCTTAGGAGCCCGGGAGGTTGGGGCTGAGCCATGACCTCACTGTGGTCTCCTGCTAGGGCTGCAGACAAGCCAGGATGCCCGCTTTTACGCTTTGTCGGCCAGATTTGAGCCCTTCAGCAACAAGGGCCAGACACTGGTGGTGCAGTTCACCGTGAAACACGAGCAAAACATCGACTGTGGGGGTGGCTACGTGAAGCTCTTTCCAGATGGTCTGGACCAGACCGACATGCATGGAGACTCTGAATACAACATCATGTTTGGTGAGGGGCCCCGCCCTGGTGCTGACCTTTGATTCGTTAGAGGGAGACTGAAATCTCAGGGGTTCCTTAAAACCCCCGACAGGTAGTTTTGAGAACACAAAAAGTACTTATGTAGTTAAGGCTTGTCTTTGCAAGGAAGGCTGAGAACGTTGCATTGTTATTGTTGGTCTGAAACTGTTAGTTTATGGGATTTTCTGTAGCTATTTCCTGATATTACAGTGAGGGCATTAAATTCTAGAGCCGGTTTTTGTTTTTTTGTTTTTTTTTTCCCTTTTTAAAAGGGTCCACCTTTAGCTCCCTAGAACCAATTGGGGTCTGATTCCTGTCCTGTGACCCTTTACAGACTTGAATTTAAGAACCAAGTCTTCCTTTGTGAAGGGGAGCTTTGCAATGGCAGGCAGCTTCTTGCTCTAACTGAATCTGCTTTTCACCTAGGCCCCGATATCTGTGGCCCTGGCACCAAGAAGGTTCACGTCATCTTCAACTACAAGGGCAAGAACGTGCTGATCAACAAGGACATTCGTTGCAAGGTGTGACTGGGGGTGGTGACAAATGGCTGATAGGGGAGTCTCAGAGGCCAGCCTGGTGGGTGGGGCCACTCATCTCCCACCCTCTTCAGGATGATGAATTCACACATCTGTATACCCTGATTGTCCGGCCGGATAACACCTATGAGGTGAAGATTGACAACAGCCAGGTGGAATCAGGCTCCTTGGAGGATGATTGGGACTTCCTCCCTCCCAAGAAGATAAAGGATCCTGATGCTTCGAAGCCTGAAGACTGGGATGAGCGGGCCAAGATTGATGACCCCACAGACTCTAAGCCTGAGGTTGGTGCTTGGGCAGAGGCTCCCCACATGGAGGGTGCAGAAGGACAGCTGGGTTGCCCGACCTTTTTGTGTACCCTCAGGACTGGGACAAGCCCGAGCACATCCCTGACCCCGATGCCAAAAAGCCAGAGGACTGGGATGAAGAGATGGATGGAGAGTGGGAACCACCTGTGATTCAGAACCCTGAGTACAAGGTGAGCCTGGGGCTCTGAGCAGGGTGGGGGGTGCACAGTGGGGAGCACACTGACCTCCACTCAACTACTGGTTCCCTTCCCCTTCTGCAGGGCGAGTGGAAGCCCCGGCAGATCGACAACCCAGATTACAAGGGCACTTGGATCCACCCAGAGATTGACAACCCTGAGTACTCCCCTGATAGCAACATCTATGCCTATGAAAACTTTGCTGTTCTGGGCTTAGATCTCTGGCAGGTGAGACATAGAGGGGATTCCTGGAGTACTTCAAATGTTCAGGGTCATCTAGGAAGAAAAAGGGGTAGTAGCATTCAACCCCAGGTAGATCTGAGCCCACACTGGTGCTTTTCCTGAAGAATTTCCTGGTCTGTGTTCATGGGAGTTCTCCCAGCACCCACTTTGAGGTTTTGCTTATTATGTGCCAGATACCTTTCTAATAAGTTCCTTTATGCAAACAAACGTATTTAACTGCCCTTAACAGCTAGAAGTTGGTTAGATAACCTTGTTAGAAAATTAGTTTTAGGGGTACTTGTTTGACTCGGTAGAGTATGCAAATTTTGATCTCACAGGCATGAGTTCAAGCCCCACATTGGGAGTAGAGCCTACTGGAAAAAAAAAAATAACTACTAGAAAAAATTAAAAAAAAAAATTCCATTTCGGAGGAACCTAATTTTAGTTTTATTCACTGATAAACATTTTCTGCCTAGAATGGTGCCTCGCATGTAGTGGGTACTAGGAAAATATTTGAAGAGACTGAGAGAGACCCTATTTTACAGATGAAGAAATCAAAGGGCATTGTGTAGTTGTCATGGGAACATTGGGGGGGGAGCTTGTCCAAGGCCAGGGACATCTGATGTCCACTCTGACCACCTCTCCATCCATCCTCCTGCCCCCAGGTCAAGTCTGGCACCATCTTTGACAACTTCCTCATCACCAACGATGAGGCATATGCAGAGGAGTTTGGAAACGAGACCTGGGGTGTCACAAAGGTGGGACCAGGGTCTGGTCCTGGGCTTGGTGGGTAGGCAGGTGTGGTGGGTGGGGCCAGTCCCTGAGGTGTGTGGTCTATGTGCAGGCGGCCGAAAAGCAGATGAAGGACAAGCAGGACGAGGAGCAGAGGCTAAAGGAGGAGGAGGAGGACAAGAAGCGCAAGGAAGAGGAGGAGGCAGACAAGGACGATGAGGAAGACAAGGACGAAGATGAGGAGGACGAGGATGACAAGGAGGAAGAGGAGGAGGAAGATGCTGCCGCTGGCCAGGCCAAGGATGAGCTGTAGGGGCCATGCCACTGCCTCTAGGGCTGGACTGAGGCCTGAGCGCTCCCGCCGCAGAGCCGGCTGCGCCAAATAATGTCTCTATGAGACTGGAGAACTTTTCATTTTTTTCCAGGCGGGTTCTGATTTGGGGTGGATTTTGGTTTTGTTTCCCCCCCTCCTTTTTTTTTTTTTTTTTTTTCTAAACTGGTGTTTTGTCTTTGATTCTCCTTTAGTCCTTATTCCTGACCACCTCTTTCTTGATTGACATCTTTGCCTTCCTCTGTCCCTTGTTCTCCCCAGATCCCTTAGTTCCCCTCCAACCTGAGGGGGCAGGGGAGTGTGGAAGAGAAGCCCCAGGCCCAAGATTCCATCTGCTTTCCTTCCTGGATCCCAGAGGGGGGCCGGAGAAGAGGGTGGCATCCCCAGCCCCCAGCACTGTGGAAGAAGAGGGCTCCTAGGGCCTGAGCTCTGACCCCCACCCACCACCTCCCTTTTTCCCCTGCTCCCAGGACTGGGCCACTTCTGGGTGGGGCAGTGGGTTCCAGCTTGGCTCACACTGAGAATGTAAGAACTACAAACGAAATTTCTATTAAATTAAGTTTTGTGTCTTCCTCCTGTGTCTCCTTCTGGGGGAGGTGACTCTCGAGTAAGGCTCATTTTCCAGCGGCTAAAGTGTTGGTTGAATGTCTCATAAGGTTCCAGGGCCTGTTGTTTACCCCCACAACCTCAAACCAGTGAGAGAAGAGTGATGGTTCTAAGTGCCATTACAAATACTCTTTATATTAACTCATTGAGTCTTTGCACCAAACTGGTGAGTTTTGTTTCTAGTTCCTGTTCAGTTTGATGAGGAGGTTGAGCTCCTGAATTTAAGGAGTAGGGCAGGGCTCTGAACCCACACCGTGGCACCATTTCATACCATCCATTTTACACTCAACCATATCTACCTCTTAACTGTTAATGAGCAAGACTACATAGAACGATTGGACCATTTTAAACGTTTCCATTTTTTTTTTTAAGATTTTATTTGACAGAGACTGCCAGCAGGGAACACAAGCAGGGGGAATGTGAGAGGGAGAAGCAGGCCTCCCGCCGAGCAGGGAGCCCGATGCAGGGCTCGATCCCAGAACTCTGGGATCATGACCCAAGCTAAAGGCAGACATTTAACGACTGAGCCACCCAGGTGCCCCTAAACTTTTTTTAATACTAGTCCGTATTAGAAGCTATTCCTTCTATAATATAGGCAGAGAGATGGTAAATAGCACTGTTGGTGGTCTTTGAATTCTTAGAGGGAAAGAGATGGCCCCAAGGAGGGTGCAGAGATGATAGACCAACAAGGTCTAGGGCCCCTGAGGCTTAGCCCATCTCTTGGGGTCCATGAGGCTGCCCCTGAAGTTCAGTAGGTGGTCTGGAGCTCATATCCCTTGTTGCAGGAGAGAGGCAAGAAGCCCTCAACAGCCTGGCCTGTGGTGGGAACGTCTAGGCTCTGCCTGCGCTGAAGGGAAACAACAGGACCCTGGTTACAGTTGGGCAATGGGTGAGGTGTCAGGTAACTGCCTGGTTCTGGGCTTGAGTTGAGTGCTTGAATGGAAACTAAAGAGCAGGTTTGGAGGCAGGTAATGGTCAGTTCAGGATGGGAGGACCACCACCCAGTAACTGGGAGATACTCTCAGCCTTGCCTCCATCCAGTCCCCCAAAGCACCATCTTCATCTTTGGCCAACTAATCCTTCAATTCCTTGTTCGGTGGATGGGCCTTCATGCTTCCCACCTGTGGCCTGTGGCCCAGTTCCACCCCTCTGGGTAGCCTCCAATTGAATTGGTGCATCCAGGGAAGTTTATGGAGAGAATTCTGTATTCAATGTAGGGAGGCCTTGAAGGGTGACCGTTTCCTTAAATACTTCTGGGGTCAGACTGGGGATAGTGGGGTGAACACAGTGGTTGGGGTAGGAGCAGCAGAGAGGTGGGACACCCAGGAGCTACTACTCTACGTTCATTCCAGAAATCCAGTTCTCCCTCAGGAATGAATGAGGTCCCAAGTTGGCCCCCTAGCCCTCCTTCCACGGCCAAATGTGGTTTTTAGAATTTTCATTTTTTTAATTACTTGTTGGTGACCTTTTGAGTATCTTTTCCAATCTTGAGTAAGGGTTCCTATGAGAGTGGCCACACCAGAACAAAACTCATTTGGTAAACAAAAAAAATGAAACCAAAAAAATACAAATATCTACAAGTACATGAAAAATTTTGCTCAATGTAATCAACAGAAACTCTTAAGGGCATGAAAGGGGGCATGTCGGAGCCATTTTGTGGCCGTACGACGTCACCGCTAACGGGCATGGCGTCACTCAGGAAGCCACGCGATGTGTACATGTGTTGAAGGAGACGCTGCCTCCGGGAGACTAGTTTAGTCTGCGCATGCCTGGTCAAAGGCCTCCCTCTTGCGCATGCCCACCAAGGCTAAGGTGGCGCGCGCAGGTCACGTGCCTGGTGGTCGGCGCGCGCACCGCCTGCCCCGGAAGCGGTCGCCTCGCGGCGCGGCTGGGCGCTAAGATGGCGGCGGCGTGAGTTGCATGTTGTGTGAGGATCCCGGGGCCGCCGCGTCGCTCCGGCCCCGCCATGGCCGTCACCATCACGCTCAAAACGCTGCAGCAGCAGACCTTCAAAATCCGCATGGAGCCTGACGAGACGGTGGGAGCTGGACCGGAGCCCGGGGGTGGGAACGACGGGTGCCGGGGGTGGGGGGGATGGGGGGGTGGGGGCGGGGAGGACGGCGCGGGCAGGGCTCTGCCCACCCCTTCCAGCCTGCCTGACTTTCCCGAACCTCCGTTCGGTTCTCGGCTCAGCCCCCGGCGACTCGTGCTGATGGCGCTTATGGGCCGGTCTCCGGACGAGGCCCCACCCCCGGGGCACCCATCAGGCCCCAGCTCCAATGTCAGCGCCCTCGCGGGTCGCGGGAGCCGCAGGTTCAGATTCCCGGCCGGGCCACGCTCTCCGGGACGGGGACTCCGAGTTCCCAGCTTTGCAGGCGTCTCAGGACGTTGGTGGCCGAATTTGGGAGTAGTGACCAGGAGATGCCGAGTGGTGACGGCAGTGACGGTGATAATGATAATAAACGACCTGAGTTTCAGTGGTCTGTGTGTGCTGGCGGTTTGTTCTTTACCAGATGCTGAGCGATTGTTATCTTACTAAAGATGCAAAACAGACTTACCACTTGAGCATTCTTGATTCTTGTACTCCATTTTACAGATGTGGAAATTTAGGAATTAGGGAACTTTGCTACAGTCACAGAAAGCAAGTAATGGCAGAACGGGGATTCAAATTTGGTTTTGCCTCATGTGAGAACGCATAGTCTAAACGTTGCGCTGCATTTTTAGCTGAAAAGAGGCTTATGACGTAACAGACATATTGAATGTCTATGTGTTTGGCACTCTTTGCACAACTATCTCGTGAAGGAGACACTGAACTCTATGTGTTGTAGAAAAGGAAGCACTCATATTTTTCGATCAGTCCAAATATTTGAATTTGGGCAAACTACTTAATCTCTCTGTGTTTCTGTTTTCTCAAATCTAAAACAGGGCTATTGATATCTACTTTATGCAGTGGTGAGGCTTTAAAAGTGATATGTATGCACTTAGGTTAGTATTGTCCGTATAAGATGCTTTTGGCAAAAACCAAGCACTGTCAGCAGTGTGGAATGAAGAATCTTATCTCCCTTTTATTCTGTTTAATTTTTCATCATATTTTAATTATCTGAAGTTATATTCGTTTTCTCTTTTCCTTTCATTAGCGTTACCTCCGCGGAAGCAGGGACTTGTGTTGAGTTTTGTTCCTTGTTATATGCTCAGTAGCTAGAGTAGCGCCTGGCGTGAAGTGTTCAGTAAACACTCTGTTGAATGGTAGGATGAGCAAACAAATTCGAATCTGGCGTGGTTGATTATGAAGCTTAGCTTCTCTGCCATTGAGGCTTGTAGCGGCCCCCCCCCCCCCCTAAAAAAAAGAATCTTGAGGTTTGCAATGAGTGTTCCTCTCCTTCCAGGTGAAGGTGCTGAAGGAAAAGATAGAAGCTGAGAAGGGTCGTGATGCCTTCCCCGTGGCTGGACAGAAACTTATTTATGCTGGCAAGATCCTGAGTGATGACGTGCCCATCAGGGACTATCGCATTGATGAGAAGAACTTTGTGGTCGTTATGGTGACCAAGGTGGGTGAAGGGTGCTGGTTGGGAGGGTGGGTGAATTAGCTGGGGAGCTGACAAAGAGCCAGTGTGCCCGGGAGAGATTAGCTGTGAATAGGGTGGGGCTGAGATGGGGTGTTGGGGCTAGATAGGGGTATTGATGCCTGCTCCTTTTTCTGGGTGTCACAGGCCAAAACTAGCCCAGGCACCTCAGTACCCCCAGAAGCCTCACCCACTGCTGCCCCGGAGTCCTCCACATCCTTTCCTCCGGCCCCTGCCTCAGGCATGTCGCATCCCCCACCTACTGCCAGAGAGGACAAGAGCCCATCGGAGGAATCAGTCCCCACGACATCCCCGGAGTCCGTGTCAGGGTAAGGCCAGGGAGCAGAAGCCCCAGCTTGGGCCCTGTCCTCCCAGCACCTTCCAACACATACATGTTCCTGCATACTTGGGGGAGGGCAAGCCGCCAGAAGCCAGGGTCCGATTTCTCTCTCTTGAATTTGCAGCTCTGTTCCCTCTTCAGGTAGCAGCGGGCGAGAGGAAGACGCGGCATCCACGCTAGGTGGGTGGGTGGTCCCCAGGGCAGAAGCAGTTGGGTGCCCCAGCCAGCAGCTGGGCCTTGTGTGGGTGTGGGAGGGCCTGGGAGCTACCCTTCCCCCTCCTTGGTGACCCAGGCCTTGCTGCTCCCTCCACAGTGACTGGTTCTGAGTATGAGACGATGCTGACAGAGATTATGTCCATGGGATATGAGCGGGAGCGGGTCGTGGCCGCCCTGAGAGCCAGCTACAACAACCCCCACCGAGCCGTGGAGTATCTACTCACGGTGAGGTGGGGCTGCTCCCTCCTGGGGAGGCCTCAAGGGAGTACATGGGCTTACGTGCCCTGATGGGTGGTCAGGGAGGCCCAACCTGCCCTCAGGAGCGTTTGGGTTGTGGTTCCAGCCAGGAAAGCCTTCCTGGAGGAGCCTGGACATGAGTGGTGGGGTGGGTCTGTGGAGGGCAGGGCCGAGGCCTCACCCGTCTTCTGCCAGGGCTGAGCATGCAGAAGGGAGGCAGTGGGCAGTCTGTGCATTAGAACTAAATAGGACCCCTGACAGGGAATTCCTGGGAGCCCCGAGCCAGAACATAGTTCTGTCCAGGAGAGCCAGGTGTCGGAGCAGCCAGCCACAGAAGGAGGTGAGTGGATTGGGAGATGTGCATGTGGGGTGTCTGGTGTCAAAGTGTTGGGACTCCCCCACCCCGAGCTTCTGGGAGTCCAGCATGGTGTCTGAATACACACCTTTCTCCTGCCAGCAGGAGAGAACCCCCTGGAGTTCCTGCGGGACCAGCCCCAGTTCCAGAACATGCGGCAGGTGATTCAGCAGAACCCGGCACTATTGCCTGCCCTGCTCCAACAGCTGGGCCAAGAGAATCCTCAGCTTTTGCAGGTGCGACCCTGGGGATGGAGGGAGCCAGGGCCCCAGAAAGCTAGCCTGGCCCAGTGTGTTATGTGGGAGTCCCTCTGTATTTGGAAAGCAGGGCTAATGACAACCCCCTCCTGTTCTATACAGTCTAATGCTCTGCCTGGTTTCATGTCATTTTCTCAAACACCTCGTGAGGTGTGGGTGGTGTTGTCATTGTCCCACAGAGGAAGATGCCAGAGGTCTGGAGCAGTCTTGGCAGCTGGTATTGTGTGTGTCTGCCTCCAGCCTCTGGGTCCTTTGCTCTGCCTTCTGGGTCTTTCGGCTCTGGCTTGGCCTCATGTACAGTTAGTGCATCCTCAGTGTCCACGGGGTTGCATGGCACCACCCAGGACCAGTGTGTCCCAGTTGGCTCTGGGACCACGGTGCTCAGCAAGGCTCCATTCTGCCCTTGAAGGTTCCTGTGCAGAGGGGCAGTGGCTCCTGGGTGTGACAGGGTTTTCTGGATCCTCTGTAAAGGCCTGCCTCTCCTGGTTTAGGGCCTGGCGTCCACTGCTGCTGCACTTCTCAGTCTCTTATGCTGCGTCTTGCTTACCTTCTCTGGTGTTACAGGGCTCAGGCTGCACGCCTTCACTCCTCTTCTGTTTAGTGTTCCCTCTGTATCACCTTGAGTGATGATGTTCCCCCCCCAGATTGATGTAACCAACCTGAAACTCCAAATGCCACGCTTATCCATGGCTGACTTGACACAAGCATGGAAATGCTTTGTAGGTGTCTTAAGGCTTCCGAGCAGATCCTCCTCAGCCCTCCCCATCCCTGCAAAGACCAGCCTGGGGTTGCTTGAGCCTCAGGCCCTGTGCACCTGCTGGGGTTGTCCATCACCTGTCTTGCCAGAACATCTCACTCAGCCCAGCCCTGCACTCAACCCCTGTGGCTGCCACCTCAACTCCCACCCAGTTCCCTGGCAGCCACCCCCCAGGCCTTGGCCTCTGCATAGCCCCCATTGTCCATTCTCCACCAGGAGCCAAGTTCCTGAGAAACCACTTTTTGAGGTGAAGTTAAAGTCAGACGTACGTAAAAGTAGAGTTGTAGAGAGTTGTAGAACCCCAGATGTGCAACACCCAGATAAATTAGTCTTTTTAAAATGTACACTGGATCATGTCTTGCTTTATTTAACTATCACTGTGGTGTCTTTTCATACTAGAAGGCAATAGAAGAAAGCAGGTCTGGTCTTTGCCTTCCTCTCTTTGTTTTGTCCCCCTTCTGTTGTTTACTTTGTTTCTGCCACATGGATCTTCTGTTTTCTGGGATTTGTCAGGTGCATTTTTATCTCCAGGCCTTTGCACTTACTGTTCTATCTGGAGGGAACTTCCCTTCCCATCCTGCAGATCACAGGCTCCTCTTTCCTGGCCTGCAGGATTTTTTCTAGTCCAGTGTTTGCCCTACTGTATGCGAGGCCCACTATTTCTATTGTAAATAATTACCCATTTATTTGTTTATAGCCTGTCGCCCTGCCCTGGAACATCAGCTCCACCAGGACAGGGCCTGTATCCACTACTGTGTTGCCGTTTGGCCAGAATGGGCACCCTCTAAATACGTGCTGAGGGAATGAAAAAGCAGGGCTGTGATAGGGACCTGGTGGGGGCGGGGTGGGTGGGCATCAAGGGCTGTGGGTCACAGTCTCTTCCTGTCTCCCACAGCAAATTAGTCGGCACCAGGAGCAGTTCATCCAGATGCTCAATGAGCCCCCCGGGGAGCTGGCAGACATCTCTGATGTGGAGGGTGAGGTGGGCGCCATAGGTGAGGAGGCTCCGCAGATGAACTACATCCAGGTGACACCACAGGAGAAAGAAGCTATAGAGAGGGTAAGAGGCCTGGCTGAGGGGTGACCTCCCTGATGGGCAGGGCCCTGAGGCCGTGCTGATACCCATCCATCTTCCTGCAGTTGAAAGCCCTGGGCTTCCCAGAGAGTTTGGTGATCCAGGCCTACTTCGCTTGTGAAAAAAACGAGAACTTGGCTGCCAACTTCCTTCTGAGTCAGAACTTTGATGACGAGTGATGCAGGGAGGCCAGGCCGCCCCCCAACCTCCCCACCCCCCAACTCCACAAAAGTTTTATAAAAGAAAAAAATATATATATATTCATGTTTATTTAAGAAGTGGAAAAAAATCAAAAACCTTAAAAAAAAAAACCACCCCGATTTCCCACCCTCCTCAAGTGGCCCCCATTCCCATCTTGGCCTGAGAAGACCTAGGCCAGACAGCTGTCCCCCATCCCCCGCCCCAGCCCTGCCTGCTCTAAGAAACTGGCAGGACTGGAGGCGACAGATGGGCCCCTCTTGGCCTCTGTCCCAGCTCCCTGCAGCCAGATGGAGAGGCGGCTGCTTGCTTCCCCCTCCCCCGAAGAGCCCCTGAGACCTCCCCCCGCCTTCTTCCAGGGTGAGGGGAAGCTGGAGCCCCAAACCTTGATCCTCCATTGGAGTGCCCCAACCTTTCCATCTGGGGTAAGCACTCAGAGGCTCAAGGACCGCCCCCCTCCCCAGTCTGGCCTGCATCCCTTCGCCGGAGAGGAGGCCTGGTTTCTCCTGCCTGGGGAGGGGGTAACACCAGAGCTGCTCTGGAGGTCAAGGCCACCCCCCCACCCCACCCCACCCCCCGCCCCAAGGACAGAACCGTGTCTCTGATAAAGGTTTTGAAGTGAATAAAGTTTTAAAAGCCAGTCCTGTGATGTGTGCCTACTGGGGCTTCCTGCTCCAGCTTGTCTGTGTCTGGGGGCTAGTTGGGCACAGGTGAAATGGCCGTGCTGAGAAGGGGGCAGAGTGGTCTGTCAGCCTCGGCAGATTGGGGCTCCCAATGTCTCCACACCCCCCTTGAGGCTATCTCATTCCCAGGCAGTGGGCCCCAGCCCCAACTTAGCTTTGGAAGGGCTGCTTCTCCCTGCCCCCCACCATCACCACCACAGTCTGTTTTGGCTACATTTCCCCCCCTAGTAATCGGCTAATTACCGGAGATTAATGTTGGTAAACAGAAGCCTTCTTCTCCTCTGCCATCTGCTCCTCCATTATTTCCCCATTGCATCCCCCTTCCTCCCCCTGAAGCCCCAGTGAGTCGGCGTGGCCTAGAGTCCCTGAGTGAGCAGAGCCAGGAAGGATGGGTGGGGCATTCCCTGGCCCCAGGTGTTGCGGGGCCCCGGAAGGGGCGTGATGAGCGCGGACACACAACTGTGCAGGGCCAGGGCTGTGGGGCAGCAGATTTTATTGGGAGAAGCTAGCTCAGGACCTGGGTGCCACGGAGGCTGCCGAGTCTGGGGTCGCAGCAGCAGCCAGTGCAGCAGCTCGGGCCTCCTTCTTCTGTCTTTGTTTCTCCTCCTTGAGGCGTTTGCGCTGCTGCTTCTCCAGGTCCTGCAGCAGCTCCTGGAAGCGGGCACTCCTCGGGTCCACATGGTAGCCCAGGCGTTCCTGGGCCTCAGCCTGCAGCCGGGCCCGCCGCTCCTTGTCTGCCTGCTCCTGTTCCCTGCGCTCCTGCCGCTGCCGCCGCCAGGTCTCAATCATCTGTGGCATCTTGGCCATTCTCTCTGCAATGAGCTGCTCCCTGCAGGGGGGGGTAGAGGGATGAAGACAGCAACACGCAGCCAGAAGAGGAGCACCCGGCCACCCACAGCCCAGCACCTAGTCTGCCCACATTACAACTCCCCCAACTCCCCCAGTGGAGATGAAAAACTGGGAAGACTTAGGGTGGTCATTAAAACTGTCAGGAGAAGTCCCAGACAAGTGAAGTAACCGGAGAGATGAATTAACTTGTGTGTGGCCTTGAGCACAAGAGAGCTAACCCCCTTAGGAGGAGACCCCAAGTCAACTCAGCATTTCACTGAGCCATCCGAGAGCTGCACACCATATGGCCATTCCCACAGCACACTCTTTCATCCTGCAGACATCACTGAGCACCTACTGTATGCCAGGCCCAGTTGTAAAGGCAAGAAATGGATTGGACCTTTCCCTCCAATCCTGTAAGTTTGTAGGTGCCAGTCACAGCCCCATTTTAAGGATTAGAAACGTCAAGCTGAAAGATCTACCCCATGGCAGGGTTATCCAACTAGGATGGGACAGAGACTGGGGTTCACATTCTAGCTCCAGTTTACTGCCTGGGTGACTGGACAAGTGACTCCACAAACTCTCAGGCTTCGGGTTTTCGTCTCTTTAAAATGAGGGTGATCCCCTCTTCCTCCTAGAGTTATTGTGAGGACCAGAACAATGAAAAGCAGGAAAACGTTCGGCCTCCCCCAACGTGCCTGCCCTCCAGGAAGTGGCACCATCCTGCTGTTCCTGGGCTTGCATTCTCCCAAGTCTATCCTTCAGACCTGTCTCCAAGTCCGACCTCTGCCCTTGACTCCAGGCCCCATCACCTCCCACTCTTCCCCAGCCACACTGACCTCCTGGTAGTCCCTTAAAGCATATTCCTACCTCAGGGTCTTTGCACCAGCGGTTCCTTCTACCAGGAACACTCCCTAAGATCTCCCCGTGGCTATGTCTGGTCATTCCGGTCTCTCAAGGATCAAGTCCTTGGGTTCCACCCACAGCCCACCACCTAGTCTGCCCACATGAGGTTCGAAGTCTCACAAACCAAAGTCGTTCTCTGGCACCCACATTTTTCACCCAATTTTATCTTCCTAATGGTCCACTGCCGCCATCTGAGATTATCTTGTTCTCTGCTACGTGCTCAGCACCTGGGACAAGGCCTCGCGCACTGGAGGTCCGCAGCCCACAGCCCCGCGCCTACCCGACCGCACACACCTGGCCTGACGCTTCTGCTCCTCCGCCAGCTGCTGCACCCGCAGCGACTCCTGCATGGCCGCCAGGCTCGGGCACCATTCGCGCTCCTCAGCCTCCAGTTCGCGCAGCTGCTCCCGCGACGGCCATAGCGAACCGGCGGCCACCCCGGAGGCGGCGCCGTGCCGCGCGAACTGCTTGGCCGCGTAGCGCGGCCCCAGCTGCCAGCGCGGCGTCAGCGGGTCGTCCGGGTCCGGCCACCAGGGCCCTGGCGAGCGGCGTGGGGGCGGCGGCGCCCGGTAGCCACGGGAGCCCCGGCCCAGGACCGCCGGCAGCCCGAGCAGGCTGCGCGCCCGCCGCACGGGCACCGCCATCTTGGCTGTGCGGGGTCCTCGCGGGCCGGCCGGGCTGGCCACGGCACTGCCTGCGCGCGAGGTCCGACGGCAGCCTGGGCGGGGCGAGGGGCGTCCCTGCTGCCGCAGCTCCGGGCGGGGGAGAGAAGGGGCTGATAAATGCTTTATACAGGGGCGCCTGGGTGGCTCAGTCGTTAAGCGTCTGCCTTCAGCTCAGGTCATGATCCCGGGGTCGTGGGATCGAGCCCCGCATCGGGCTCCCTGCTCGGCGGGAAGCCTGCTTCTCCCTCTCCCATTCACCTGCTTGTGTTCCCTCTCTCGCTGTCTCTCTCTGTCAAATAAATAAATAAAATCTTAAAAAAAAAAAAAATGCTTTATACATCTTCAAGTATAATTTAAAATTTTGTTTTAGCAGGTATTTATTAAAATCTCAGTAAAATTTAATTTTATACATTTAAAGTAGCATTTGATTTTTTATTTCCAAAATTTAAATGTCCAAATTTTAAACCACTATTTATTTAAAAATTTAAATATTCCTTCAGTTTGAAGTTTAATCTACATATTACTTTATATTTTATTTTTACATATTACTTTATATTTTAAATATTTAGAATCTTTTAAAGACGTTCGTTAAAATACTTAAATTTCATTTTAAATACTTGAGTATTGTTCGTAACATTAAATATTTTTTATGCTTTATTTTATGCTTTTAAATTAGATTTTTAATATCTCAAGATTTTTATTTTAAAGAATTATATAAGAACCTTACCTAGACAATTTTAAATATTTAAATTTCTACTTAACAGTATTTAAAGTTGTATGATTATTTAAGGTATTTATGTAGAAATTTTATTTTAAATTTTATTGTAAACATTTTGTTACTTTATGCCTTTTCATTTAATTTTTCATATTTAAAAATGTTTAAAATGTTTGATCAAGGTGTAGCAATTAAACAGTATTTTTTAAAAAACAGGGTTTCAACCTTAAAAAGGAAGGAAATTCTGTCTCATGCTACAACATGGATGAACCTGGAAGACATTATGCTGAGTGAAATAAGCCAGTCACAAAAGAACATATATCATGTGATTCCACTTATATGGGGTCTTTGGAGTAGCCAAATTCATAGAGACAGAAAGTAGAATGGTGGTTGGCAGGGACAGAGGAGACAAAGAATGGGAGTTAGCTTTTAATGGGGACAGAGTTCCTGTTTGAGAAGATGAAAAAGTTCTGGAGACGTATGGTGATATGGTTGCACAACAATGTGAATGTGCTTAATAGCACTGAACGGTACACTTGAAAATGATTAAAATGGTATGATTTATGTTATATATATTTTATCACACACACACACACACACGAATTGCGGTTTGCTGGGTGAACTAGGAAGCCTGGAGAAGAATATTCGTAATTTAGAACCGCGGCATATATATCATTTATGTCAATCTCAAGCTGGAAACAGCCGGCACCGAGTCCATTCACAGGAGAATGGAGACCTCAGTTCTGATGTTTCAACCAACACCAATACCATACAGGAATGCAAGAGCAGAAATTACAGCTGGGTGTAATCTCAACGTGGGTGATTCTCAGGGACCTCATCTGCAACGAAGGAGGCAGGGCCCAAGAGATTCCTTTTCATAAGGGAATGTTTTTCACTGCGTAAAGTTTACACAAATTGTCCTTTTTATGTAAAGTGGAAAAATCCTGGTGTCATTATGGATGCACACCTTTAGCAGTAAAGGATAAAGATTATTCTGGAAATCAAGATGGGACACCTCTGGTGGGGATGAGGGGGCATCTGGGTAGTGGTCATGTGGGGAGGGATGAGGGTCACTTGGTAATAGGGCACTGAGCTGGACATTCTTGTTCTGTTTGCTTTTTGCCAAGTGGACTATATTTAATGTTATCTCTTTTTTTTAAGATTTTATTTATTTGTCAGAGAGAGCAAGGGAGCACGAGCAGGGGGAGGGGCAGAGGAGAAGCAGGCTCTGCACTGACCAGGGAGCCCGATGTGGGACTTGATCCCAGGACTCTGGGATCATGACCTGAGCTGAAGGCAGATGCTTAACCAACTGAGCCACCCAGGCATTCCTAATGTTATTTCTTTTTTCTTTTTTAAAGATTCCATCCATTTATTTGACAGAGAGAGACACAGCCAGAGAGGGAACACAAGCAGGGGGAGTGGGAGAGGGAGAAGCAGGCTCTCCACGGAGCAGAGAGCCCGATGCAGAGCTCTATCCCAGGACCCTGGGATCATGACTTGAGCCGAAGGCAGACGCTTAATGACTGAGCCACCCCAGGCGCCCCCGGGGGCCCATTATTAACTCAGGAAATCAATGAGGTGGGTTACAACTAGTATTTATTTGTTTATTTCTAGGTTTACAATTAAGGGGAGAATGGCTCATAGAAAACTTTTCATTTCAAAAATTATTTGTTTAAAAAATTGTGACAAAACACACATAAAATTTACCACCATCATCATTTTAAAGTGTGCTATTCAGTGGCAGTAAGTGCATCCACACTGTTGCTCAATCATTACCACCAACCAGCTCTAGAACTTTGTCATCTTGCAAAACAGAAACTGTCCCTATTAAACACTAACT